TAGTGGTACTGTTTTGATTTTCTACCAGCAGTGAATGAGAGTTCTTGTTTCACATCCTTGCCAACATTTGATTCTGTTAGTGTTGTGTATTTTGGTCATTCTAATAGATGTTTTGTGGCATCTCATTGTTTAATTCATAATTCTCTGAAAGAACACAAGATTGAGCATCTTTTCTTATGTTTACTTGCCATTTCTATGGCTTTAGTGGTTTGTGTTTTTTGCATGTTCTTTTTTGTTACGTGTTTGTTTTGTGTTTTGGCAGTACTGGGGTTTGAATTTAGGGCCTTGCGCTTGCTAGACAGGTGTTCTACTACTCGAGTGACTCTGTGAGGTCAATTTTTGTTTCAGTTGTTTTTTGGGCAGGGTCTCCAGTTTTTGCTCAGAGCTGGCCTCAGACTCTGATCATTCTACCTCCTGAGTAGCTGGGATTGCAGTGTGCCTCACCATACCTGCCTTATTGATTGAGATGGGTCATGCCTTCTGCCCATGCTAGCCTGGAACCATGATCCTCCTAGTCTGTGTCTCCAGAGGAGCTGGAATTACAGATATGAGCTACTGCTCCTAGCTTTTGTGCATTTTTTACCATCTGGTTATTTATCTATTTTTTTATTTTTTGTTGTTGTTGAGTTTTAAAGCGTTCTTAGTCCTGGTGTGGTGGTATACTTTTCTAATCCCAACTACTTGGAAGGCAAAGGTAGGAGGATTCCAATCTGAGCGTAGACTGGGTGAAGACTCTGAAAAAAACTCTAAAAGTAAAAGAACTGAGGGCATGGGTCACATGGTAGAGCACTTGGCTAGCAAGCCTAAGGCCCCTGAGCTCAAGCTCAGGTCCCCCACCCCACTTAACCCCAAAAGACATGTTTATGTATTTCGGATAATAATCCTTTAAGATGTCTTTTGCAAATATATTCTGTGGCTTGTTTACTCATCATCTTGATTCCTTCCTTGGTGAGTGGCAGCAGGTCAGGAAATTGGGCATCCTTGATTTTTTTTCCCATAGGTTCTGTCTCTGTGTTTTGTATCTAGTGTTTTGTCATTTAATGGTGCTTCTAGACTAAAAGAAATATCTAAGAGTTGCACGTACTGTTAGATCCAAATAACCTAATTATTTATAGTCTTACCAGCTTGCCATTCAAAAAAATAATACAAAAGCTAAAAGAAAATTAATTTTGTTCTTAACCATGGTTATTAATGGGTTGTGCAAACCTTTGAGCACTGCACAACTCTTAAATATTGGACTTTAATTGGTTATCATTGTAGTTATTTTGTGTTTCACCTTGATTTTTATCTGGTATTTCCTTTTTGTTAAGACAGCTTCTTCAAACCTTACGTCACAAATACATAACACCATCCAAAGAAATGTAGAATAGCCTAATGTTGGTATTTTTGGACTACCTTGAGCTAGTAGTTTTTGTGTTTCATATATGTATTTAAAATGTTTGATGTTTCTGGGAGTTTGCTGAGGAAGCATGAATCCCAGCACCATTTCTGCTGAGAGTCATGAGTCTGTGCAAAAGGTATGCAACAATTGAGGTTAAGACACTGTCTTAATTTCTGTTTTTTTGCAGTACTGGGGATTGAACCTAGTACCTTGGGCAAGTAAGATAAACACTACCACTTGAGCTATTCCCTCAGCCTGAGTCTATTGTTAATTTCATTTTCAAGCTTAAGTATAATAGTTTGCATTGCATTAAAAAACTAGCAAATTATCAGTTCTCAAATACTGTACTTTAAAAAGGCCCATTTTATTAATACCCTTTTTAGAAGATTTTTTTTTGTCTGTGTGTGATACTGGGGATGAAACCCAGGGCTTTCTGCATACGAGGCAAGCACTGTACCACTGAGCTATATCCCCAGTTCCAGAAGATACCCTTGAAGCAATCTGTAGTGCTTCTTTACTCTTAAGTATTTTATCAATCTGGGATATAAGTATTCTATTGTAGTATAAGGTTGAGAAACTTCTACTTGCCATGTCAGTATACGTGTGTATACATGTCTATAAATTTATATGTATCTGTAGCTTTTTAGCATAAAATAGATTCACTTTTTTATACTCTTTAAGTGTTTGAGAAGTAATAGAAATAATGGGCATGTAAGATGGAAGGAGGTATCCAGATTTCAAATTCTGTTGCCCTTCTCATGTATAATAGGGAGCGATGTGAGAGGTCTATGTATGTAGCTCCTCTTTTTACTATAGTACCAGCTTAAAGTCTTCTGTTAAAATAAAACATAATTTTCTCCAGCTTTTCATCCTCAGTAAATTCAGTGGGGAGTGATGACAGTATGTCATTTTAGGGATAAATAGAGTCTGGCCTCCCCTTTCTACTTTCTCTTTATATCTTGGTGCTCAATTCTTAGAAAGTTTTACTTTGCTCCTAGTCCTTCCTTACTCTAGTAGAACTGTCTCATACTCTCTGACGAACACACACAAACCACCTGATGTCTATTGGCATGTGTCCTTATTCACTGGTTATAAAGACATCCAGATAGCTTCATCTTGCTGCTTGAGATTCTCAGCTCTGTTGTTCTTATTTTACCCATTCAGGCATGTTTCCCATTAACTCCACTAGAGTAGACTCTAATGGAACTGGGAGACTTAGCTTCCTCCCTTTCTCCCTCCCTCCCTCATTCCTTTCATACTGGAGATGAACCCAGGGTCTTAGACATGCAAAATATGCCCTCTACCACTGGGTGTACTGCCAGCCAGCAGACTGGTTTTTAATGGTGTTTGTTTATTTTAAAAACAAGCAAATAGTTTCTCTCTCTGATCCTTTTTGAAACACATTAAAATTTGACTTCCTCCTGTGAATTTTCATCTCTTTTTTTCTTCCCTGCTGTGTTGGGTATCAAACTCAAGTTCTTCGCACATGCTGTGCAATTGCTCTACCACTGAGCTGCACCCTGGACCCTGAGTTCCTGCTGTGAATGATTATTTATCCAGGAGCCTGATACCAGAATAATTTCATTTAGTGAAATACAAGTTCTTTGTTTACTCTGGTGGTTAAATCTTTATCAGCTTACTTCTATTGAGAGACAGTTAGGAAATTAATAAAGTACACTCCTGGGTGTGTCTCTGAAGGTGTTTTCAGAGAGGATTGACAGGTGGGACAGTAACTTAGGGGAAAAGATCCACCCATATAGGCTGGGGGCCCAGATGGAATATAGGTGGAAAAAGGAGGAAGTCAGCCAGTGAGTGCAAGCTCCACTGTTCTGAGCAAGTGTGTCCATTGCTGCTGCCATCTCCCATGGACATCAGACTCTAGTTTCTTCATCCTTTCAGTGTGGGCTCACACCAGGGACTCTCCAGGGAGCTTTAACACCTTCAGCCTTGGACCAGAGCTGCATCACTAGTCCCTCTTGTTCTGGGGCTTCCAGGATTTTGGACTGAGCTGCTACTGGACTCTGGTTATCTGCAATGCACACGGCCATCATTGGGCTATCCAGCCTCCAATTGTGTAAGACAATCTAAGAAATGCCCTTTTATGAATACATATATTCTGTTGACTTCTCTAGACAACCCTGACTAATACACTATCTATGTGCAAAATACCCTTTGATTAATTAAAAAAAATTAAATGACTTCATGGTTACTTTCAGCAAACAGAAACTGTTAATTTTTATATCTGATGTGTGAGATAGGACTCTGGTTCCATTTCTTACCCCCTAAATAGTGGAACATTAGTTTTTAGCACTGTGTACTTTCAGATGCCATTTTTTCTCACTTTGGTTGTAAGTTAAGTTTCTTTGGACTTCCTCTTGTTTCATTTATCAGTATGTCTGTTTTTATGTTGGTTCCACTCTGCCTAATTTATTGTATTACAGTATCTTGGTTAAAAAGAAGTCTCTACTTTCTTTTCCTTGAAATATTTTGGTTGTTGTTGGCATTATTCTGTATAAATTTAGAACCAACTTATTATTAAATTGCTGCTTCAAATTTTTGATGTATTTATTGGGATCACTTTGCATGTTTACATCAAGTTTAGGGGAGAATTGATGTCTTAAATACTGAGTTTTTAATCACTGAACGTGGCATAATTTTCTTTTGTCTTATGTGTCTTAGTAAAATTACATACTTTTTTTGTTTTTTATAATTCATATTTAAATTTTATTTTGATTACTAGAACAAAAACATTGTCATAATTATGTCCAGATCTATACTTTTTTCCCTGTGATGGTCCATGTCTTTATTATACCCATGACTTAGAACAGAGGCTATCAAACTAAAACCCACAGCATAGGATCTGTAATACCATCTGTTCTTGTAAGACCCACAATCTAAGAAAGAACGCTAGCTAAGAACTTTTTTTTTTTTTTTTTTTTTGGTGGGATTGGAGTTTGAATTTAGGGCTTCCTGCTTGCAAAGCAGGTATACTCTACTGCTTGAACCATACCTGTTTGTCCAGCCTGGCCTCAAATCTTGATCGTACAATCTCAGCCTCCCAAGCAGCTAGGATTACAGGTGTGAGCTGTCCTGGCTACTAGCTAAGAATTTTATAAGTGGTTGGAAAAAAATCAAAAGACTATTGTATGATGTGTAGAAAGTATCTGAAACTTAAAATTTTACTGTCCATAAAGTTTCTGTGTTGTATGTTTGTTTATTTAGGTGTCTGCAGTTGTATTACACATGACAGAATTGATTATTGCAAGTCATAAAAAACATGCTATCTAATGTGCTTGATAGAAAAAGTTTGTTTCCTGACTGAGAAGTACTGTCTGTCTTGCTTGTTCATGTATTTTAGAATTATTTTGTGTGTTAAGGTGAGGGTGGGGGCAGGGTTTCAGCCTCTCTTTCCTTTACTTCCATCTTCAGTTCCAATAAGACTTAAACTCATAATAAGTCATCTTCATATGTATTTGAGTAGAACAAAAGGTTGAAAATTAATGATGTCATGACTTACATAGTAATCACTGTAGCTATGTTCTTGTATTTTACATTTGAAAATTTAACTTAAATAAAATACATCTTAATTTGCCTTTTTAACTGATTTCCCCTTTTATAGGAAATTAAACGAGAGACAGAATCGAAGGATGACAATTTGCCCATCAAACGGGAAAGGCATGGAAATGTAGCAAGCCTTGTACAACGAATGAGTACCTATGGGCTTCCAGCTGGAGGAATTCAGCCCCATCCACAAACCAAGAATGTTAAGAAGAGTATGTGAAAAGTCTTTTCCTGCTTTATTATGTCAGAATAATTGAGGATAGTTTACAAGTGGTCATAAATTCAGAAAAATTAGTTCAATCTTCAGAGTATAGTAGCTTCTAAGTTATTTATTTATTTATTTGTGGTACTGGGGCTTGAACTCAGGGCATACACCTTGAGCCATTCCACCAGCCCTTTTTTTTTTGTGATGCTTTTTTTTCGAGATAGTCTCTCAGACTGTTTGCTCCATCTGGCTTTAAACCATGATCTTCCTGATCTCTGTCTCCTGAGTAGCTAGGATTCCATGTGTGAGCCACCGGCAGCTGGTGTCTTAAGTTATTCTTAGGTTATTGTGTTATTGGCTTCTTAGTCCATGTAGTCAATTGTCAGTTTTTCTTTTTTTTTTTTTTTTCCTGGTTGTTCTGATGGTTGAACTCAAGCCTTGTGCTTGCTAGGTGAGCTTATATTACTTGAGCCAATGCACTCAGTCCATGTTTTCCTATTTAGTTGCATGTGGTCAGTTTAGCATGAAATGCTGGAAGCCATCTACAGAGTTAAGATGTGAGATTTTTTTCTTACTAATGTTGCAGACTCTGTTGAATGATTGATACCTTAGTTGTGTTTAATAACATTTAATAGAATGCTGAAATGTCTGCTGATTTTCACATAACAATTTTGATAGTTTTTTTTTTTTTTTGCATTACTCGCCTTTGAACTCAGGGATTCCTGTTTGCCAGGCACACACTCTACCACTAGAGCCACATCCCCAGCCCTTTTTCACTTTAATTATTTTTTGAGATAGGGTGTCTTGTTTTTGCCCAGTCCTGACCTCAGACCATAATCCTCCTATCTACAGTCTTCCGAGTAGCTAGGATTACGGTTATTTACCATCACACCTTCCTTATTTGTTAAGATGGAGATTTCACTAATTTTTTTGCCTGGGTTGACCTCAAACTGCGATCCTCCTAATCTCTTCCTCCTTAGTAACTGAGATTATAGCAATACCTGCTGCACCCAGACAATTCTTTCTTTCATTTTTTTTTTTTTTTTGGACACAGGGCCTGGCTGTATAGCCCAGGCTGGTCTTCAACTTACGGTCCTCCTGCCTTAGTCGCCTTTGTGTTAGGACTGTAAATGTGCCATTTGGGCCCTGTGAGGTCTATGTATTTGGTGGTTAGATGCTTGATACCTGTATCGGATATTTAGACATTTATTTTCCAAAATGATTGGCCCAGAAGAGTTCCCTTTAAGGATTTGGTATTCTCTAGATATGTTAGGAGAAAATCTTGACAGAGAAAGCATCAGATTTTTAAATCAGATGGGCTTGAGATCATTTAAAATTCTCCTGAATTTTATTTTGCTGCTTGTGAGAAAGTGTTAGAAAATCAGGCCATTTCGCCATTCTCAAAGACTATTATTTAAAAAGTATATAGCATTACACATGTACGAATGAAACTGGAGGTTTTGGCCAAAAGCCAGACTCCAAGAGTACATGTTAGTTCCAGCCACTCCCCTCGATGTGCCAAAGAAAGACACGAGTCGTGATAAAGGCAGAGAAAGATTAAATAGTGTGACCATGGGCATGCTGCAGGAAGAGGCAGGGTCTGCATTTCAGCCCACCTGGTACAGGAGAAAGAATTACGGACTGGAAGAGAGGTATGCAGTTATTAAACAAGTGGTGGTCACAGGTGGTCAGGTTGTTCATTGTTTTAGGATTGGTGAACTGGGCCTTGTTATAATAAGAGAATCATTGAAGGTTGACAAGGGAGTAGGTAGTTTTGGGCTTGTCCCGGGATGTTTATCCAGCAGTCTTGTCTTTCCCAGATTCCAAGGTGTTTGCAAGCCACTGCAGTAGAGAATGGCTCAGAGCAATGGACAATGGTAGAAAATGGAAGCAGGGATGTCAAGCTTTATTCTGCTGTCAGTTAATTTGTGGGTCCAAGTAAGGAGTCAGTGCTTTTCAATAAAACCAGCTTTTAGGTACCTATTATACAAAGAACAATTAGGGGAACAGATAGCAAGTATTTTAACATTAAAAAAAAAACAAACAAAAACCCTGAAGCCTCATGGTAGATTGGTCAATGTAATTTAATAAATTTTTAATAAATTTTGTTTATATACATTACCCAAATTGTAAGTATAAGACTGTTAATGATTCTTACAGAATCCATTTAAGATTTAAGATTCTTAAATCTTAGTCTGCTACTTTCTGTCAAGTTTGTGGGAATCTCTACTTTGATTATTTTCACAAAATAAAAACTTTTTATTTTTATTAAAAATTTTTTTCTTCTTATTGTTGTGCTGGGAGTACATTGTGGCATTTACAAAAGTTCTTAAAATATATCATAGTTGAATTCACCCTGCCTCTTATTTTCCTTTATCCCCATTTCTGGAATAGTTTCAACAGGTCCCATTTTTCTATTTACATACATATGTGCACAGTATTTGTACTACATTCACCCTCCTACACCCTCTCCCACATTCTCCCCCCTTCCACTAGTACCAACCCCCCAGACAGGACCTGTTCTGCTTTCCTGTTCTCCATTTTTGTGGGGAAAAAAAAAGGTTTTTGGAAAGTAAATTTCTTGATACCAAGACAGATAAATTAAGGTTTTCTTGTTCTTTGTCTCCCAGAGATGTGATGGTTAAACAATATTTGTATTCCCCATACTGCTTTCAGCCTGTCTGAAGAGGGACAGTTTCAGCAGTTCTAATGGTCCTGACTCTGAAACTGCTTAGAGACTGGGGGAAAGGCAGCATATATCCACTTCTCTGACCTACAGCTGTGCCTCTTTCTAGAATTTCTGTACTCAGAACTTTTAGTCCCATTTGTGATTTCTTCTGCTTACAAGTTTGTTTCACTCTGTGGCCTTGTAAAAGGACTAGCTTTTTCTTAAGTACAGGCTAGACAAAGCTTCAAAGCTATGAATATTTCATTAATTTTACCTGCTATCTAGGAGAAGACACAGAAAATTTTACCTTTCTTAAAAACACTGGGCATAGTTCCTCCTAAGAAGGAAAAGCTGCTTTGCAGTTGATGCCAAGAGGCTTAGGCTTTTTCCCTAAGGATGTTCAGTAAGTTTTTTTTTTTTTTTTAAGTGCTTGAGCTTGAAAGACTAAATTGGCCATTTGGTACCTGATAACATTTAAAACAATGAAGATTTTTGCTTTCTTGTTTTCCTGTTATTTATGTATTGTATGTTTACTAAATCTGTTTTTTGTTGAAACTTTTGCTATTGTGTATTAGTAAAGCTAATAACTTCTCTGGTAAATCAAACATATTTTCTAGAGCAAGTACACAGTAGAAAACGGAAAAACTTGATTACTGTAAGTTACTAAAGTCACAGAACAAATTTGTGTTTTTCAAAGTCCACACAGGTACATATTGCATTATTTCTGACAATGTTCATAAAATCAGCTATAAAAGCTATAAAAGCTTGTAATCCCAGTTATTCCCAATCCTAGACTGAGATTGGGAGGATCAAGGTTCCAGGCCAGCCCAGGCAACTAGTTCATGAGACCCCCCCATCTTCAAAATAACTAGAGCAAATGGACGGGAGGTATGTCTCAAATGGTACACTTCTGCTTTGCAAATGCAAAGCCTGAGTTTCATCCCCCTCCTCCCTCCCCCCCCAAAAAAGAAAAAAATCAACCATGGTAAAGACTTGATATCTTTTGGCATTACAACTCTCTAAGTAACATTCGGTATTGAACATTAACAGGTATATATACATTTGGGAAAATTTGATGCCATATGGACTCTGCTCTTGGCATGTATGAAGGAAAACATCATTGTTTGCTGACTTTATTAGTGGAAACTTATGCTGCTGAGGAAGTGATTTTTCATCCAGTTTATTATTTTGAATATAAAAGATACATTGAGATTGATACCTATAGATCCCTTATACGTGTACCTAAATGAATGCCATTGGCTCACGCCTATAATCCTATCTGTTTCGGAGACTGAGAATGGGAGGATCGAGGCTCAAACCCCAGTCTCATCAAAAACAATCCCCCCCCACATACACACAAAGAAAAACCAGCTGACAGAATGCTAACCTATACTTTGCTTCATTTCCAAAAAATACTTGGTAGCAATAGTTATGCCTCCTGAATTTTGTCAGTGTTGAAGACAACAGTGAAGGTTCTGAACACAGTCAGATTATGGTCTGTAACTATGCTTCTTTGCAGCACACCTTTTGAAAAAATGTGTTTATTAGTTCAGGCTTTGCTCTTTAACTTTGAAGTATTCTGACTTGTATAGAAAAAGATTAATTCAAATCACTTTTCCCAGTGCAGCCTTTCAACTGAGGGAATGGGGATAAGGCATTTTTTTCTGTATTCTTTTGAAGTCTTTAAATCTGCAGAAAAGTTCTTTGTTAATAACTTTGCTTACAAAGTATTGATTGAAATTTTTTTTTGACCATTAGTTTTTTGAAAAGCCATATGGAGTTTGACTGTAATAAGAAGATAGTTATATTTGGCTGGGGACGTGCTCAAGTGGTAGAGATCAGCAAGTGTGAAGAAGCCCTGAGTTCAAACCTCAGTGCAGTCCCCCAAAAAAGTGTTACTTTTTATAAATTGACTTAAGTTTAAACATCCTTTTGTTGGCAGCTTTGGTCTTCTATTTGTTTTGTTTTTCTTCTTTTTTCTTTGTGCTGAACATAGATCTGATACATTGTAGAAATTAATAATTGCCCAATATTTATGGATAGACATTATGTAATTTAAAATACGAGAAATACCAGAATTCCTTTACTTGTGTCACCAATTAAATTAATGGATGAATTCAGTATAAGCAGTGACTCAACTTTATGAGTGACCCCTATATCAATATAGAATCATGTGGAAAAAATTTTAAAATAACTCACATTTTGGTAATAATAGGGCTTATGTAGATGTTTTTTATCCATTGTTTTTTTTCCTTTGAAAAATAAAAATAAATTCTTTGCAGGTAATTCTGCAAACTAATTTAAAAACTCATACTTCAGTATAAGAGGCAAAAAATGTACTTGTTTGTTAAATAGAAGTACACTCAATGTTAATCAACATGCTCGAGGTAGTGGCCTAAAAATATAGGCTACTTATGAACTGTGGTCATTGTTTACTTTCTTTGGTTCCATTTCCTGAAAGTGTATAATAAAAAAAATCAGAATCACATTCTTTTAGGAAGACACGCACCTTTGTTTTGGAGATTCTGTTCTTTTTTCTATATGATGGTAAGGTCTGTGTTGCACATCTTCATATTGTTGATTGCATGTAATAGGCTGCTTTTTTTTTTTTTCTCTTAGTGCAGGGAAGAAGGGGCCTTGTCTTGATGAATAGTTTCATAGATCCATAGGATGTCAGAAAATGAAGTAACTAGTAGTCACCTAACTAGCTTGTTTATGGCTCAGGAAAGTGAACTAAATAGGTAATAATAATTGTACTAGAACTCAAGTCTTCTGACTTCCAAGCCAGTGTTACTTCTCATGAAGTATGGCATCTTTCTTTACAAAAAATTTATTTGGAGTGGTTTATTAAAGTCATGATTTGGTGTAGTGAGATTCTGCCTATGTAGATACTTTTTTTGGTGGGACTGGAGTTTGAACTCAGGACTTTACATTTGCAAATCAAGCATTCTACCAAGTGACCCACACCTCCAGACCATTTTACTCTGGTTATTTTGGAGTTTGGGGTCTCACGAACTATTTGCCCGGGCTGGCCTTAAACCACTATCCTCTCAGTCTCAGCCTCCCAAGTAGCTAAGATTATAGGCGTGAGCCACTGGTTCCTGGCTCTCTGGACCTTCTTAACTCTGTAAAGTGTGGTGGCATTGCTCAAAACTATCCCAACACACCACTGTGGATCAGAGAACTGTGGAATCGCTGAGTTCTTTGTCTCCTTTGTTAGCAGCAAGCACCTCTGTGCAGCACTGGCAGAGGTTTAGTGGGAACTGCAGATAGCCACCTTCAGTCCTGGCACCCACATGAAACCCCTTCCAGTCTAGCTATATCCCAGTCTTAATGGGCAGGCTCCCTAATCCCCCAGATTGTGTGGACAACACTCTGTATCCCAATAACCTCCTACCCATCACATTGCTCTTTTAGTGGGTTTGTGTCAGAGTCACGCCACTGAGTTGAGTCTGGTGAGGCAGCTGGTTCAGTGCACTGAAATGTGTGTGAGGTTCCAGAGATATGCAAGGCATTTGACCCCTAGGCAGTCCTGGTTATAGTTTCCTGAAGGGTCTCTGGGAGATGAAGTGAATTCCTTTTCTAAAGCCAGGCTGCTGTGCAGATTTCACAGTAGCCTCTTTGCTATTTGGAGTATAAGTCTTCAGGGGTCACAAAACTTTCAACTAGCAGAGTGCCAGTGTTTGTGCTGAGAATTTGCTGGCACTTCCTCTTTCACCTTTACCACTGGGGAAGGGAGGCTTCCAGGCTATGGGGCTGGGGACAGCATTTGTTGGTATTTTTTGGTTTTTCATTGTTGAATTCCAGTGTTCTCCTGTGGTCACTCACCTCAATATGCAGCTATACTATACACCTGTTACTTTGGTTCTTTTTTTCTGGAGGAGCTGGTGAGTGCTGGGTGTCTTGCTTCAGCCATCTTGCCCTCCTGTTCCACACACGCACTTTTTTAAAAGTAGTGCATTTTAAATATTCCTAGGCTTTGATCGGAAAATAAGTCTGAAAATCAAGACCTGGAGGACTTGTCAATGATAAATTTGTTTTGTCAAAATTTCCTTCTTCCCTTTCTCCTTCCCCTTCCCCTCTCTCCCTCTCCCTCCCTTTTTGTGCTGGGGGTACATTGTGACACTTATAAAAGTTCTTACAATATGTCATAATTGAATTCACTCAAAATGTCTTTTTTTTTTTTTTCTCAGTTTTAATATTGGTAGTGGCTATTTTGCCTTTGTATAGTTGGATTCCATTGCTGGAAGTCTTACATGTTGTTTGTTGTTGAATTGTGGGGATGACTACATTATAGTGTGGAGGAAGAGTTAAAAAGCCAACCAGGGCTGATTGTGGTTAGCCAGAGTTTTGAATGCTCATTTTCTTTCATCCTCCATGTAAAGTCCTATGACTGTAAACATAGTATGTAAGTAACAGTACAATTTTTCTGTGCTGGGATTTGAACTTGGGGCCTTATGCTTTCTAGACAGATGCTCCACCACTTGAGGCACTCCACCAGCTCTTTTTCGTGTTGGGTATTTTCAAGATAGGGTTTCCCAAACTATTTGCCCGGGTTGGCTTCAAATTTTGATCCTCCTGTTCTGCCTCCTGAGTAGCGAGGATTACAGGTATGAGCCACTGGTGCCCGGCTAAGACACTATTTTTTAAAAAATTATCTTTTCTAACCTGATTTTTTATTGTTATTTCCTTTAGAGTTGAAGAAGCGTCAGTGTAAAGTTCTTTTTGACTACATTCCACAAAATGAGGATGAGCTGGAGCTGAAAGTGGGGGACATTATTGATATTAATGAAGAGGTAAGGATGACATGTTAGCAATAAAGTAGCAGTTTAATTTATGATCTGTTTTAGTAAATGTTTTGTATGAATATTAGTTTTTGTAAGAATTTATGCCAGCTTTTAAATGAAATTTAAAGGTATTGTTTTTTTGGTGGCACTGGGGTTTGAACTCAGGACCTGGGCTTCTACACAGCTGCTCTGCCACTTGAGTCAAGCTGCCAGCCTTGTATAGACTTTCTTTACTCACCCCTGCTATGTATTATATTTATGTATTTGCCTTTTAGGAATAAGAAATAAACTTTAAGTTTAAATCTCAAACACTTCTGGTCCCAAACATTTTGAATAAGGGGCACTCAATTTGTATTGCATAGCACCTTCATAGCCCTGAGTGCATCCATTTCAGCTAACATGGTGAAATGTCTTTTCCAATTTATCCTTGGAAAGAAAATGTTGTTTTCACTACATCCTGTTGGTTAGAAATCACTTACAAGCTGTCAAGATTGAAGGGATAGGGGACAGAAACTGTCTTATGGTGGGAACAATGTCAACACCACATATGCTGGAGGAGAGATTTTACTGAAGCCACTTTGCTGACCATATGCCTGGCAGATGGGGGATGCTTTTTTTTTTTTGGTGGTCTGGGCATCAAACTCAGGGCCTCATGTGTACTAGAAAAATGCTTAACCATTCAACTTCATCTCTGACTCTTAGTTTTCTTTTGAGATGGAATCTTAACAGTGTAGCCCAGGCTGGGCTTGAACTCTCAATCTTCCTATCACTGCCTCTTGAGTACTGGGATTACAGGCATTAAGCACCATGCTCTGCTGTTTTTGACCGAGTGTTCTTTACCACTTGCTACTCTGCCAAGATTTCCTTAATTAAATAACCATAACTATATAGGTGCTGATAATTGGGGTTCCACACATAGAGAGTAATCTGCTGATGTTTCTTGCCCTTTGTTGTATCCCAGTTTCATCTCCTTAACCACATATACCTGGCTGATTTGAATGATCCTCAGTCTTTTATTATCTCCTTAAGTGTGCTTAAAGTTGAACTCTTCATGCTTACTGCCTTAGTTTGCTGTCTCAGCTTGTGTTCTAACCACTTTGTTGTTTAGCTCTACTCTATGAGTAAATCATTTATTTTTATGTCATTTTTTTTCCACATGATTTTTACCTAGAAAATTCTTATTCGGGTTTTAATATTGTGTTCTTTTGTCATTTCCTTACGGGGGAGTCGCTATTGATTCTTTTATGCCCTTCCTGTGTGCTCATATGGCATTTTGCTTCTACTTTTGTTACAGTAATTACTGTATTTGAATTATACCATCTGCTTACTGTTTTCTTCATTAGATTGTTTTATTCAAGGACAGGTATTTCTCATGTGCAAGTATGTATCTTTCCTTAGTAGTTAATGCCATGGCTTGCACGTAGTGAGTGCCTATTACTGGAACACTTCATTAAAAGTTTCTTTGCAATTATGATAAGGTATAAAACATTTAAAAATGTTCTAAGCAAAAAAAAAAAAAAAAAACCAAAAAACAAAAACCCTTCTAACTATGATGTTGCATGTACTGCTGCTAAAAATTTTTGACAATGAGTAATTTACTTATTTATTTTTAAAATTGTTTAAAATTGTTTATACATTTATTTATATGTTTATTCATTGTTTGGGCTATCTCCCCCCCTGCCCTTCAGTAATTTACTCTTAAAAATTGGTTTTACTTAACAAAATTCCTTAGCATCCTTAGGAAAAACTGTATGCTTTGAAATAATTATTGAACATTTTATGAAATAACTTCATGGAAATTGAGTAATCTTGTTATTAGTGAGTGGAAATACTTTTCTAAAGAGTTTGATTCATATTTCTGTTTAGGGAAGGTGTTTATTAGACTGATCTATGGACTTTTAAGAGTAAATATTTTTGATAAGGGCTGGCTGTGGTGCATCACGCCTATCATTCCGGCTGCTTAGGGAGCATAAATAGGAGTATCGTGATCCAGGCCAGCATGGGCAGTAATGTGAGATCCTATTCAAAAAATAACTAAAGCAAAAAGGACTGGGGGTATGGCTAGAGTGGTAGAGCACCTGCCTAGTAAGTGTAGGGTCCTGAATTTAAACTCTAGTACTCTCCCCCGACCCCAAACGAAAAAGAAAAAAGTCACTGTTCAAGTAAAAGGTTAATCATCTTTTTGTACCACTTAAGACATCATATTCTTACAGTTACTGAACTTTTTCCAAACCAGAACGTTCTAAGTGTTTTACATATGTCTTAATTACAAGCTAAGGCCCAATAGTGTTTAAGAGAGTGATATGTAGGCTATGTGGTTTTTGCTGTTGGTATATACTTAATCTGATACTTTCATGAAGTATCAGATCAACTTCATAGGTTGTGATTGATTACCAGTTCTAATTGTAAATGTTGCAAATTGCTATTAATATATGATTAATCCCATGTATAACTAATGTGGACTTAAAATGTATTTTTCCACGTTGTATTTTCTTGTTTTAAAGAGCGTGGTTTGCATCATTAACTGTGTGTGCATTTGTTTTTGTAGCTTAATTTTTTCATAGAGTGAAGTTTTTTCACTTAAAAGAAATTTTTATTATTTTTGAGTTGTGAACTCTTTCAGGTAGAAGAAGGCTGGTGGAGTGGAACCCTAAACAACAAGCTGGGACTGTTTCCCTCAAACTTTGTGAAAGAATTAGAGATAACAGATGATGGTGAAACTCATGAAGCCCAGGAGGATTCAGGTACACTAAAAAGTTTTTGGGAAGATTATGTATGACTTAGTATTTACTTTGTAATTTTTGGAAGTTATATTTTTATTTTTGAAAGTTTAGTCAGCTTACGTCAAAGATAAAATTCGTCAAGTAATTTAATATTTTTCTGTCTTCAATCTCTACTTCAGATCTAAGTATACCTTTAATTCTGACTAAAAATGCTACTTATGTAATTTCCTATTTCTGATATATTTATGTACACTTTTGTGTATAAATTGCCAAATTTACACATGGTTTACCTGATACTAGAGAAATTTTAGAAATTAAAAAAAAATCTTTTACTGTTTTTCATGTTCACATAATAGATTTTGTTTTCTCCATACAGTTAAATGTCATTTAATTATTTTTGATGTCTGTCATTTAGAGACTCATAGATTTATCCTAATTTCCTCACCATTCAAGAGTTTGATTGGGAAAGTTTTACCCCAAACTAGATTTACATTTTGTCATTTTAAAAATTGCTGTGGGAATTAGGAGATTTTTTTCAAAAGATGATTTAAATTCATAGGTGTTTATGCAGTAGATCTTTTTCTTGGTGGAAAAGCATGCGTAGTGAGGGTTTTCAGAGAGTTACACTTGTGTTAACTAGCAGTACTAGCAATAATAATAATAATAATAGCAATAGTATAGCTAGCAGTACTTGCCATCTTTATGACCACAGGTTCATAGACATTAAGGGGTTGTATTACTGCTTTTCCCCCAGAGTCAGTGAGTGCCAAGGTATGATAACTCATACAACTCAGAACAATGAGATGAAGTGATAAGATTGCTTTGACAGTTAGATACCTAACATTTTTTGTTGTATTCCAGTGGTACACAGCTATTCTAAATGTCTAATTTTAGATATACCATGCTAAGGTTAATAGTGTGACATATAGAGGGCAAATATTTTGAAATTAAGTGAGAAGTATTATAAGGGTGTTATTTGTAGCAAATGGATTTATGAGCCTCAGTGTACTCCGTAATAAAAGAAATCCAAATAATTTAAAATTTAATTGGGTGATAACATTAAAAATAATTAATAAAAGTAAAAGGCATTCAGAATTCATTTTTGAGATATTCCTAAAGTTAATGTGCTATATGTTTGGTTCTACTATTTCAGACTTTAAAAAATAAAATTTCCCAAAACCTTGTCTTCATTCATAATTACGTGTTGTTTTCCACATGAGTGATTTGTAAAATGCACCTTACCATCCTACATACTCTTCCTCCCCTGACAATTTTAAGAAACTCTGGAGCCAGGAGAGATAGCAGGCTTTTGAAATGGTAGAAAAGACATGAAATGATAAAGCAAGTTCTGAAGTATATAGATAGAGAGCAGGAACGCTCTGTTGCAGCCCTCTCATTTTATAGCAGAGAAACCAGAGACCAAATAGTGATTTATATTCTTTCCGTTTTTCCTAAAAACATCAGTGTGTCTTAGACTTTTGACTTTTGAATTCCACTGCCATCTCCTCTTTTGTTTCCACTTCTCACCATAGGGCAGCCTTCTTATTGCTACAGTACAGTGTTAATGTAAAACATATTTTTTAAATTTGGAGAAAAATTATAAAAATAAAAACTTCTTGTGTACTTTTTACCCAGGTTTGTCAGCTGTTAATACTTGACCCCATCTCTATATATCCATATTTTTTTCTTAGCACTTCAGTATATATTTCTCAAGAATGAGGATAGTTAATCTCTTAGGGAAGTATAGTAGTTTACCAAAATCAAGACATTTAATACTGCTTATTCCATAGCCCATATGCAGATTTCTTTAATTGTTCCAATGTACTTTCATTGCTATTTTTTCCTCCTAGTCTTGGTCAGGTCCACAAATAGAGTTTATTTCTCATGTTTCTTTAATCCAAACTAGTTCCCTAGCTTTTCTCTGTTTTTCTTGGCATTGAGATTTTTGAAGAGTGTTGGCTGGTTGTTTTGTAGAATGACACTTTCCTTGGGTGTTTCTTCTCATTCTTCATGAGTATATTCTGGTTACATATTACTGGCAGTACCACCGAGTGATGATGCCTCATTGTATCATATTGGGAGACCCATGATGTCATTATTGGTGTTAAGTTTGATTTAAATTTAATTGTAATCCAGTTTAAAATATGCTGCCATTGTAAGTTTAGCATTTTTTTTCTTATAGTTAATATCTTGTAGGGAGCTACTTTGAAATGGTGTAAATATACTATTCCTTATCAGTCTTTTACCCAATAGTAATAGTGTTATAAATTTTGTCCAAATCCATTCCTGCTATCATGATTGCAAGCTGGTAATTTTTTTTTGACTCTACCAGCCCTCCCATGTTTATTATTTGGCATTTTACTCTAAAGAAGAGCTTTTCTTTTTTCCCAACTTACTTATCAATGCAGGCTCATCAGTTGGGTCTTGGCTTTATTCACCAGATGTTGGTCTATAACCAGTATTATTTATTTTGATAACCCTTAGATTTGGTCCTTTGGCTTCTCTAGCTAACTTACATAATTTTTAAAAAATTGAACTTTATTGGAGGTACGATTTATATACAGTAACTTACACCCCTTTAAAATTTATAATTTGATGAGTTTGACAGAGGTACACATCAATAAAAACCATCAACGTAGTAAGTATACAGAACATTTCTGTCGCCCTCAAAATATTCATGCCTCTTTGCAGTCTGTCCCTTTCTCTGTCCTTGGTCCTAGGCAATTTCAGATCCACTTTTTTGTCAATGTGAATTAAGTTTGCATTGCTGTGTCCTTTTGACATGTTTCCATCATTTTTGTGATACAGGATTTTCTTAAGCTTTCCCGTTCCCAAGCCTGGAGTCAGTCACTTAATCCAGGCAATCTTGGTTTCTTTTATAGAGGAACAGCATTTAGACATCAAGATTTAGGTAGACAGATGTGTGCTCATTGCTACTGGAGGCGATAATCCTTTTAGTTCCTCTGAATTGATTGTACTGGGAAATACACACACACACCTTGCCTGTCTCTCTTTACCTGTCAGTCATCTGTTTGTCTGTCTCTTTACTGTACCTCTAATTGTAACTTAATACCACAGGGTATGTTCTAGTTTCTTAATGATTCCATTTCTATGCCTGTTATCCATAGACATGAGTGAAATGAGTAATTGAGATTATTTTATTTTTAAAGAAATTTAATTTTTTTATAATTGTGGTTACAAACCACAGTTATATTTGCTGTGTCCATTTGGTTCTTAGTATAAACACCATCTAGTATTAGGATTGAAAGAACAAATGCTTAAAAGGCAGTATTCTAATTTTCTGTGTTATTTATAGATTATGATGCATACAGAAAAGCCAACATGAATTCAATTTCTAAAAGACTGATGTAGAAGAAACCTCTCGTAAGTTTAGAAAGTAATAGGAAAAAATGTGTTACTTTACATGATCGTAAAATTCTTTTAATTTGTTCTGAAAAGTAGATAGTGTATAATAGATCTAATAAATGAGAGCTAGGAATAATGAATGAGATCGTAAAAAGTATTACCAGTTAACTAAATAACATGAAAAATTCAGGTAAGGAGTTAGTTATAGTAATAATTACTAAGTTAAAGTGAATATATAAATTAGTTGGAATAATGTTACTGTTACTGTAATTTTTAGCATAAAATATATGACCTGAGGAAAAAGTAGATGCTATTTTAATCAAGATAATATTTCTTAACCCTTTTATGTTCTAAATTTATTCTGGTTCTGTGAGTGAACAAAATCTCTCTGTAGGCCAGAGATTTAAGGTCTACCTTTCTAGAGGATAAGACAAATATGAATAAGTATACTTAAATCATAGAGTAAAATGATTTGAGTTACTTTGGGTTGGTAAAACATTTTTAAACAATATTTTGTCAGTTTATTTTGATTAACTTGCTAATTTTCATTGTCTTAGTATGGCCCAGCATGGTAGTGCACATCTATAATCCCAGCACTCAGAACCTGAGGCAAAGAATTGATCATTCAGAGCTAGCCTGGGTTACATGACACAATCCTGCCTTTAAAGACAAAACAAAACCAGTCAGCCCCTCTGACCTGACAGGATGGAGCTCTTTTAGCTTGGATGTTATTAACGAAACTCTGGTTTTTACCATTTAATTGTTCTTTCCTTTGTTTCTTCTCAACATTTTTTTACTTATTTTTTATGGGACTGGGATTTGAACTCAGTGCTTTGTGCTTGCAAAGCAGGTGCTCTACTGCTTGAGGCACACCTTCAGTCCATTTTGCTCTGGTTATTTGGAGATGGGGTCTTGTGAACTATTTGCCCAGGCTGGCCTCGAACTTCAATCCTCCTGATTTCATCTTCCCACGCAGCTAGGATTATAGGCGTCAGCCACCTGCTCCTAGCTCAACATTTTCTTATGTGTATAATTTAAGTAGGTTAAGTATACCCACACTGTTGTGTAACAGATAGCTAGAACTTTTCATTTTGCGAAACTGCAATTTTGTACTCAGTGATAACTCAGCATTTCCCATTCTTGTCACTGGTTACCACCATTCTACTTTCTGTTTCTATGAGTTTGATTACTTCAAATACCTTATATAAGTAAAATTATACAGTATTTGCCTTCTTTATTTCATTTAAACACAGTATTCTCAAAGAGCACCTATGGTGTAGCATTTGACAAGATTTCCTTTTTTTTAAGGCTGATTAGTATTCCAATGTATGCGATACTTTTGTTTACCTATACTTCCCATGACTTTTTGTTTTTCCTTAGGCAAGTTCTCACTGTTTAGCCCAGGCTGGCCTCCAACTCTCAATTCTCCTGCCTCTCTTTCAGCTCCTTGAGTGCTGGGATTACAGTCATGTACCATCGTGCCCAGTTTATAGCAATTTGTTAAATAAGTTAACAGTGTAGTTTGGCCCATTCATTAATCGACTCTTCCTTTCATGAAAGATTTCTCTGTAGCATATGATGCTATTTGATAGCATCTTACCTGAAGTAGAAACTCTTTCAAAATTGGAGTCAATATTTTATCAACTAAGTTTAAGTAATATTGTAAATTACTTGTTGTCATTTCAACAACATTCACAGCAGAGAATAGTGGTTTTGAGAAACCACTGTCTTTGCTGATTTATCCAGAGCAACTCCTTACCTGTGAAAGTGTTATCAGCAGTTCAGTCACATCTTCAGGCCTCATTTCTAATTCTACTTTTCTTGCTTTTTTGACCACCTCTGCAGTTACCTGCTCACTGTAGTCTTGAATCCCTCGGTGAGGGTTGGAATAAACTTCTTTCAAATTCCTTGTTAGTGTTTTATATTTGGACTTCTTCCCATAACTCATGAATGTTCTTAATGACTTCTGGAAGGGTAAATTCTTTTCCAGAAGGTTTTCACTTTGCCCACCTCCATCAGAGGCTGCCACTTAGGTAATAATATTTGAAAGTTCATATTTATTCCTCGAATTAAGGGCTTCAGAAATGATTGTGTTAACAGGCATGAAAACATTAATCTTATCATATATCTCATCAGACTTCTTGCTTACCGGTGCAGTGTCAGCGAGCAGCATTATTTTGAAAGGAATTTTTCTTTTCTTTTCCTTTTTTTCCTGTGTAGTAGGTCTCAACAGTGGGCTTAAAATATTTAGGAAATCTTGTTGTAAATAGATATGCTAGCTTACATGTTGTCATCCAGCTTAGCTGTTTCATAGATAGAGTACAGACAGTAAATTTTGCATAATTCTTAAGGTCCCTAGGATTTTTTAAATGACAAACGAGCATTGGCTTTGAAGTCACTAGCTGCATTAGCCTCTGACAGCACAGCCAGTCTGCCCTTTAAGCTTTGAGCCAAGCATTGAGTCCTCTTCTGTTGCTATGAAATTTTTAGATAGCAGCATCTTCCAACCTAAGGCTATTTTCATCTACATTGCACATCTGTAGTTTATTGTACCCACCTTCATCTTTCATTAGAGTTGGATCTTCTGGATAATTTGCCACTTCTTCTGCATCAGCACTTGTCACTTTACTGTGCATTGCTGTTATAGAGTTGACTTCTTTCCTTAAATTTCGTGAACCAGCCTCCTATAACTTCAAACTTTTGTGCAACTTCTACCTCTCCTTGGCCTTTACAGAATTTAATTGGGCTTTATGAAAAGCTGTGGTTGATTTGATCTATCCAGACATTTAAATCTTTTTCCGTATCAGTAATAAGATTGCTTCACTTTTTTATCATTTGTGTGTTAACTGAAATTGCACTTTTAATTTTCTTTAGAAAATTTTCCTGTGTGTCATACCTGGCTAACTACTAAGAACAAGAGGTTCATCTTTCAACATACTTTTCCTCAGTGAGCTTAATCAGTTCTAGCTTTTTATTTAAAGTACAACTTTTCCTTTTATTTGAACACATAGAAGCCATTGTGGCTTATTAATTGGACGAATTTCAGTATAGTTGTGTCTCAGGGAATAGGAGATGCCCAAGAAGAGGGAGAGAGATGGGGGGTGAGGAGGGCCATTGGAGAGTCAGAACCCATACAACATTTGTTAGTTTAAGTTTAGCGTCTTATTTGCAGTGCATGTTGCCCTAATACATTCACAATAGTAACATCAAAAGTCACTGAACCCAGGTCACCATAAAAAATAAGAAAAAGTTTGAAATACTGTGAAAATTACCAATATGTTACACAAATGTGAAGTGAGCACCTGCTGTGAACAAATTGTGCTGAAGAATTTGTTTGACACGAGTTGTTAACAACCTTCAGTTTGTAAAAATTGCATGTAGTGTCTGTGAAGAGCTGTAAAATGAAGGTATCTGTGCTTGTTACCATTGTACTTCTTAAATAACTAAAAATTGTTTCTGTGTATAATTTGTAAAATCCTAGAAATTTGATTGAAGGTTTTGTGGTTTAGAACTATGATTTTAAGGTCATCTGGCATTTAGTTCAAACACTAGCTTTATTACTTATCAGCTAAGGTCCTTGTGAAAGTCCTTAACATCTATTTGCTTTAGTTTACTTATTTCTAAAATGAGAAATAATACTGTTTAATGACAAGAAGAAAGCCGTGAAGATGAAAATTAGGTAATTTATGTACAGACAAAGTACCTGCCACAGAATTCCTGAGTCAATAACAACCACTATTTTTTCTATCCCTATTAGTATTTTTACTGTTAGAATTGAGCAGACTATTTCAGTGAGCTGATATCACCTATTTTCCCCCACCTTTTAACCCCAATCTGAAATCCATCTTTGATGGGTTTACTTTTATAAGGATGTTTGAGACTCTTACTGGATAAAAGCTGTGCCTCTTTTACCCATAAATATGTACTGTAAGAATTGCCACATAATTTCCTATGGGATTGTTCATAAGTCACTGAGCTTGTAAATAAGAACTCTAGTCATTGAGCAGAAAGTAAAAACACCTTTCTTAAATAATGTTAAGCTTTAAAAACTTTTATTATCTATCATAATTTAAATTTGTACTGACAAATTTATCTGTCATAAGTTAAATTTGTCACTGATGAAGTTAAAGTCTACTTTAACTTCATCTCAGTGAAAATGACAGGTCTTAAACTGTTGACTTTTTTAAATGAAAGAGAATTAATTAATTAATTAATGTCATGATAGCCATTCTATCACCAACCTTTAAACTGTTAACTTTAAAAAATAATAATCCTAGCTTTTATATTCAGAAACTCATCCTAATTTTGATCAGATTGAATCATATTAACTTTTAAAAAATGATTATGTTTTCTCTCTTTAATGTTTCAGTGTTAAATTATTTCATCTTTGGCCAAGATCTATAAATTTGTCTTGGTCCATTTTGTGTTGGTGTAATAAAATACTTCAGACCTTACAAAAAAAGAGTTTTATTCAGCACAGTTTCTAGAAATCTGAGAGAGGAGGGAAGGTGGTTTAGGCTTGCCCCTTTATAATAGTTGCTTTTTCGGGGACCAGCAATTCACTTTTGCTAGTCCTAATCCACTCCTTGATACTAGCTAGCATTGAACTCTTCACTGGGGTGGTTGTGAGCCAATTACCTCCCAATAGGCTCCACCTCTTAAAGGTTCCATCACTTTCTATACATCATTGATGTTGGGGACCAGACCTCAAGCATGTGAACCTTTGCGGGCAGGGACAGTCATGGTATGATTTTGTTAATGATCTGAATTTCTTAGTCTTTTACTAATTAAATGTACATAGATTTGTTGCTGTTTTATACAACAGCAAAAACCAGTAGAGTATCCTTGCTTTTGGATATTTTAATCTTTAGTTTTACTGTTTTTAATCTGCTATATTTTAATTAGTTAATATAGGGCGTAGACATGGATGGGGATGTAAAGAGTTTTGTGATTCTGGGTGTCAGACTTTAAAAACAAATTATTCTTTCAGATACTGTTTTGACTGGGCCTGCCTCACCATTACCATCTCCAGGGAATGGAAGTGAAACTGCACCTGGATCGATTACACAGCCAAAGAAAATTCGAGGAATTGGATTTGGAGATATTTTTAAAGAAGGCTCTGTGAAACTTAGGACAAGAACATCCAGCAATGAAACAGAAGAGAAGAAAACAGAAAAGGTGGGAATGATGAATTTGACTTAGGCTAACTTTATTCATTTTCTACTTACCTTTTTTTTCTTTCTTTCTTTTTTTTTTTTTATTTGAGACAGGGTCTCCCTGTATAGCCTGGGCTGGTCTGGAACTCCACATTTGCCTGCCTCTGTCCCCATACTAGGGTTATAGATGTGTGCAGCACCCTCAGAATTAAGTGTTTTTGAGAGCGTAATTTAGCATGCAACTCTATTACATTTCTGTTTTGAGATTGCTAATAATTTTGTTATGAATGAGAATCTTGTGGGAAACTTTTCTTTCCAAATTTACAATGATTACTTTCATATTTATGTTTGAATCTTACAAAATTAGGATACTGATTTCTGATGAATTTAACAAACTTTTCTTAGTAGAAGGTTTAGGTTTTTTAGTTATAACAATATAAATGTGAAAGGAAAGCTTTCCTTTTTTAGCTATTTTAAAATTCATTCACAATAGAATATTAATTAACTTTTTTATGGATTGTCAGTAATTGCTAAATTTACTAATCTCCTTTCTGAATGTATGGAGAGTTTTATTTTTCATTAGCATTTTACTGTCATTTTCAAATGAAGTAAAGGTAATGAACCGTAATCTATAAGATGTAATCAGTTTTAAAATCAAACCCTAAGTTTTAATATTGGTGGAAACAGTAGCTAGTCTTCAGAACATTTTTTTTTTGAAGTTTTTTTGTTCCTACTATCAGTATTGTGGAGATACTTGGGTATTTACTTTAGGTAGGATGCTTTTCCCTTGACTTAAGTGGGTGTTTCCTTTATAGTTCTCATTTGTATCTCTTTTCTAACACTTTAAGAGTTCAAAATATTTTAATACTTACTTGCTTAATTTAGCTACAGTTCACTTATAAGATTGTACTTTGATTAGTGAAATACATTCTTTCATTTTTTGCCAAGGTGGGTATTTTCAGCATTTTTTTTTGTCCTTTCCCAACTTCATATTTTTCCATTTAATAGTTAGGTGGATTCAGGAAAGAGATCTTCCTCTTTGTACCCTGTCCTGTCCTAGCTCGAAGACTGTGAGGTGTTAAGATTATGGGGTCTGATTGATTGGAATTCTCAGGTTTTGAGATGGTACTCTATCGCCATAGAACAGCTAAAAATGATGGAGGAGCAGTTCTTGCATTATGAGGGACATTGAACTAGATGGTCGGGGGGGGTCCCTCTTCCCTCTAGCTCTAAAAGCTTTTGATTATTTTGATTAATGACTATATTAGTAATCTTTCAGTCACCATTAATAATGTCCACTAGTCAGTTACCAGAGTAGTCTCAGTGTTACCCTATTTGACAAAGTTGGGAGCACCTATTTCATAATGTAGATGACACCATCTTGGAAAATATGGTTAAAATTGGAAGAAGTTAAAATGAGTATCTTGAAAGACAAATAGAAGACAGCAGTGTGGTTGGTACATAAGTAGTGTGTTCAAATTTTGAGGTATTGAAATCTAAGGTCAAAATTACAATTTTTGGGAAGAAAGTAAAGGAAACACTTCTACAAGGTAGTGAAAGAATTACTATAGTCAGTTATAATGGTAAAATGTCTAAGTACTCTATAAGGTTTGTAATATTACCTAAGTATTTTCATTCAGATAATAATGGAATACAAATAGTTTTGGGTCTAGGCATGGTGACTTGCCTATAATTTTGTTGACTCTAGAGTCTGGAGCTTGCTGTTTGAGGCCAGCCTGGACAAAAAGTTGGTGAGGCTCCATCTCAGACAATAAAAAGTTGACTGTGGTGGTGCATGTCTGTCATCTCAGCTACATGCAGGAAGCTTAAATAGGATTGTAGTCCAGGTTGGCCCAGGCATAAATTGGAGACCCTGTTAGAAAAATAAGGTGAAAAGGGTCAAGGAAGTGGTTCAAGTGATGAAGTGCCTCCCTAGCAAGTGCAAAGCCCTGAGTTCAAACCTTAGTAACCCCCCCAAGCCCCCACACAGTCTACTCCCCCCAAATATAAGAGCTTTTAAAGTTCTATTTCAGTTTAAGCTTCAGAGCTATTAGGAGCCTACTTTCTGGAGTCAGACTTCCTAGGTTCAGAACTGGTTCCAATGCTAAATTACTGTTATTGTGGGAAGATTATTTAGCTGCTTTCTAATCTATAAAAGGGAAGAATAATGCCTACTTTGTGCAGATAGTTATAAGGATTAAGTATAATACATTTAAAATGCCTGATTTTTATTGCAGAAATTCTAAAGTTATAGCATGACTATATTATGCTATTCTCATGGAATTTTTAAAATTAGTATCATTCAAGGAAGTTTTGAGCTTTTTAAAAAACCTTTTTTATTGCCAAATTTTCAGTCACATTACTCATATGGCTATAAGTACCATTAGAGAAAACTGGGTAACTATAAATGGAAACTTTGTTTAGCAATATTATTTTTATTTTAACTTAATTAGTTCATGTCATCCTTTTCTATTCTAGTCTTTAATTGTGCAATCACTAGGATCCAAAACTCAAAGTGTGGAACTAGCAAAAACAGACTCTGAAGGTAAAATTAAAGGTAGGTTTTTAAATAAAATCTTCTTAGTAGAAACATGTTCAAATGTGTTCTTAGACTTGATTAAGGGATTTGTTACACTGTACTACGTATCAGAATATTAAATCCTAAGGTTTATGTGCTCCATGAGGTTAAGGATTTCCATGTGCTGTGTTCATTGGCGTTCCCCTTCTAGTTAGAACTCTGCCTGGTGCATATGTTAGGTAAATACTTGAAAAAATGATTGGTGAACTTGTTTTTTAACACACAGTATTGACTATAAAGTTTTAAAATTTAAAGATGAATTACTAAGTTCATCTTTAATAGCTTCTTATATATGTATTTCTTTACACAAAAGACAGGCTAAGTATTTGCTGAAACAATTTGTATAGCCACATTTTTTACCTTCTTTATTTCAGCTAAGGAATATTGTAGAACATTATTTGCCTATGAAGGTACTAATGAAGATGAACTTACTTTTAAAGAGGGAGAGATAATTCATTTGATAAGTAAGGTAAGGTATTTTTTTAGTGCATCATTTAATTCATAGAATATTTTTCAAAATTTGTAGATTGCCTCCAGAATGTAAGTTCTAGAAGAGCTGGAAATATTTCTTTGTTTCTGGATCCTCAGAACCTGGCTCAGGAAGTTTAAAAAAACTTTAAAAAGCTGACATTTGTTATCTATATTTTTTATAACTGCTATATTGAAAATAATTAACTATCAAATTGATTTTTTTTTTCTTTATTAGCCCGTTTCACAGATTTCTATCCTCACTTCTCTTCATATTTTTTCCTTCATCAATGGAAGCATTGTAACATAAAAAGAAAAACAGGGAAATAACCTAAATGTCCATCACTATGTAAATGGCTACCAGATTCTTCATTCTTTGGAAAATGATGTAGCTATTCTAAGGGAAGAAATGATTTTATAAATTGGAATGAATTCTAAAACAAAATAACCTTATTTTGTTTTAGAATTAGAGTATGGAAGCCAGTAAATGTTGTGGGGTTGTTTTTGGCTATATCCCTATAGTACAATTTTTGTTTTTTGAAATTTCTCCCATTATTTTAAATGGACTTTGTTGTGATATGGCTTAATGTATGGGTTTGAATCAGAGTTTCAGGCTTGCAAAGTAGGTGCTCGCTAAGCAGGTACTCTACCGCTGTGCCACACCTCCAGTCCATTTTGCTCCAGTTATTTTTGGAGATAGATCTTGTGAACTGTTTGCCCAGGCTATCTTCGACTGTGCTTCTCCAGCTCTCAGCCTCCCATGTAGCTAGGATTACAGGCGTGAGTCACTGGCACTCAGCTTAGAATTTTTTAAAATAAATTTTGTTGTGTATTTAAAGTATGTAACATGTTGTGAGATGTAAATAGATAGCAGAAAAGGTTGTGTATTGAAACTAATCAATATATCCCTAATCTCACATAGTAACTCCCGGTAAAGCAGCTAAACTCCACTCATTTCATAGCGTGAAACTATGAATACATGTAATTTTAAATATTCACATGGTTCAGATGGATAAGATCTGACTTTGCAAGCAAAGGTGGTTATTTGGAAAGAAGATTTTGTTAATTTCTACAGTTGCTAAATAAGTAATTTTTAATATATAAAGTGTTAAGAAGAACATTAAGGAAGATGCAGATTGATTATTCATACTCTATCTCTCTTTACCTTTCTCTCGTACTTTCTCTTTCATCTTTCTCTTCTTCCCTTAAAATCTTTTAATCTTGTAGATGAAATTTTAAAATGGACTAATTAAAAAAATTAAACCCAATTTTGTAACTGCTACTAAAATTAATATGTGGGTTTTTTTTTTTTTTTAGGAGGACCTTATGATCTGTTTAGGTTTTTGTTTTTTTCTTGTAAAGATATTAGAATTCAATATTTTCCTATTTTGTTTTCTCTCATTTAAAGATAACTACTGTTATTTGTATTGATTTTCAGGAGACTGGAGAACCTGGCTGGTGGAAGGGTGAACTTAATGGTAAAGAAGGAGTCTTTCCAGATAATTTTGCTATTCATATAACTGAACTGGATAAAGATTTTCCAGTAAGCTTTTGTTTTTCATTGGTGAAATTGCTTCAGTATTTTGACAATATTGTTTTTCAAAGCAGGTTTTTTTGCCTTGCTACTAAACTATTTTTCTGAAGGAGTTTCCTAAAATTACGTGTTTAGGTGAAGGTTAGTTGAATTATAGTAAAACAATATAAAGACACATGGATGATGGTAGATATAAGTTTATAAAATAAAGGAAAAAATAGACAGACTGCTATATTTGATTTAAACCATGCAGAAAGTCATGGAAGTGAGTGAATGCTTATAAATTGAGGGAAAACAGGCCTTTTTCTTTAATTTTCCCTTTGAGACACCTTAAGAATTAAAGAATGAAAACTAGGTTGATTTATTGTTGTTCTTGTTGTTTGTCTATAAATAAGGTCTACCCTCCCCTTGTCTTGCTACTTCCCCTATCCCTCTATCCTTAACTGTGCAAAAGGGGTAAAATGATGTTTAAGAATCTTAAACTAGGGAGACCAGAATGCAACAATTTTGCTCATTAAGATACTTGACTTTATTCAATTCATTGATGATATTTGAAGTATTTCGCTATAAACTTTAATCAAGGAACTAATTTGAAGCTAGGGCATAGCTCAGGTGGTAGAGTGCCTACCATGTACAAGGCCCTGGGTTCCATTCCCAGCGACACACGCACGCACTTATGTACATATACATACACATGCAGATATACAGAGATTGGGGTGTGTTTGGTTCATTTCTTGCCGAGGATGAGATGAAAAGAAATGTTTTTCTAATTTTGATTATTAATTCTTCTATGTTATTTGTAACTTATCAACATTTTTACTACTTTTTTTTTTTTTTCCTTTTGGTTACAGAAACCAAAGAAACCACCACCTCCTGCTAAGGGTCCAGGTATGTAAGAAACACATTATTTTAGTTTGCTATTCTTCATATTTTCAAAGTCTGAAATAGTAAGAATAAGTTTAATGTAAATCATTATATTAAACAATTATAATATTGTATAAAAATTGGGTGTTCCTATGTATTGTTATCCATCACTTTTGGAAATGGAGCCTGTGTAGATTTGAACTTGGTGCCCTGTGCTTGCTAGGCAGGCACTCTGCTACTCCCAGCCCTCATTATTTTTTAGAGTGCCAGTGGTATAAATTAGGAGTCTAGTTAGGTGTTGTAGTGCAGGCCTGTAATTGCAACACACTCTTGAGGCTGAGGCAGGAGTATTGTTAAGTCAAGGCAAGTGAGATTGTCTCAAAAAACAAAAAAATTAAAATAAAAAAAATAAAATTGGGATTTTGGAGGTAATTTGGATACTTTAGTTAACCTGTTTTAGAAAACTTCTTGTATTGACCTAACCTTTTAGTTGTTCTACCTTTTGTTGTTGGTTTTTTTTTCTTCTTTGTAGCACTGGGGTTTGAACTTAGGACTTTATGCTTGCTAGTCAGGTACTCTATCACTAGAGCCACTTTGCCAGCCCTAAATATTTATTTTTTAATACAAAAGCTTCATATAAAGTATTAATTGATCCTAAATATAATATGATTTTGTTTATTTGTAATTTTTTTTTCCTGTAGTACTGGGGTTTGAACTCAGGGTCTCATGCTTGCTAGGCAGATACTCTACCACTTGAGCCACTCTGCCAGCCATTTTTTTGTGTTGGATATTTTTGAGATAGGATATTGCTTTATTTCTTTGGCCCAGGCTGGCATTGAACTGTGATCCTCCTGATCGCTGCCTCCTAAGTAGCTGGGATTATAGGTATGAGCCACCAACACCCTACTGATTATTTTGAGACAGGATCTTGCTGTGTAGCTGAGGTTGACCTTGAACTCATGTAGCATTAGGCTAGCCATGAACTCGTGATCCTTCTGCTTCTGCCTCCTGTGTAGTGCTGGAGTTACAACTGTGAGCCACCATGCTTGGCCTACAACATGAGTTTGAAAATGCAATAAAGTGCAGTCATGCATATGTAGTTGTATCCATAAGTATGCTAAATGAAAACCCATATGGCAATAAGAAACATTAACAAGCCTAGTCGAAGTATCAATGAAGATACTCCTCTGACTTCCCGTGCTTCATAGAGCATGAAAAACCACCAATCATTTCGTTAGTCCTTGTACATTATTTTCTGTCCACATTCTCTGAGTCTGATTGCATCCTTGGGTTTTATGTCAGTTTCTCTGTGACATTTTCCTTTTCTGTGTAGCAGATCTGCATCATTGGCTGCTGCTTTGGGGTCTAGACATCCTTCCTGGTGTCCATTGTTAGTCCTTATAGCATGGAGAAACTTCTCACTGATCTTCCCAACAGAACCCTCTGCCTTTAAAACAATAATTTATACTTCTTTAAGAGTTAGATTTAGAAATTGGTTCTGTATTTCCATAAATTCTACCCCAAAGCATCTGATTTTAGAAAAATAGCAAAAATTTTTATTTCTTGAGAGATTTGCTGGTTTTAATTTTTTTTAGAAGGACAATCAAAGCTCTTCCCTCTCCCTTAGTTTTAGCTTTATGTTTGCTAATTTAATTCCAAAGTGAGGAAAGCAAATCTTAAAGGTAATTTTTGTAGAAGTTTTAGTGTTGAAGGCTTAATCTAAAGCTGTACAATTCACCATGGTAGTAACCCTAACCCCTAGCCATATGAGGCTTTTCAAGTTAAATAAAAAAATCAGTTTCATAGTCACAGAAGTCACACTGCAAGTGTTCATTGGTCATATGTTGGATAATGCAAGTCTAGAACATTTTACCAACACAGAAAGTTCTACTGGACTGTGGTGTGACAGAGGATATGAACATTGACACCTAAACTTGACAGAAGGAAATGAGACCACATAATTGTTATTGAGGGTAATAGTATCAGATCAGGATTAGAAACTGAGAGTGGTGTTGGAAGTGGTAGCTCATGTCTATAATCCCAGCCACTTGGCAAGCAGAGATTGGGAGGATCATGGTTGGAGGCCAGCCTGGGCAAAAAGTTAGTGAGATCTCATCTTAACAATTAAGTCAGTCACTGTGGGTATGCTTCTGTAATCCCAGCTACTCAGGAGACATATGTAAGAGGATTGTAAGCTGAGACTGGACCAGGCAAAAATAAGAGACTCTGTGCAAAATAAGCTAAATGCAAAAAGGGGTATAGGTATGGCATAAGTAGAGCACCTGCCTAGCAAGCAGGAGGCCCTGAGTTCAAACCCCAGTACCACCAAAAAAGAAAAAGAAAAATTGAGCATAGTGATTTCGGTGTACTGTTCTTTTTGTTAAACCATCTAATGTTCTATTAAAACTGCTGTTTACTTTTTTAATAGTTAAATAGTGTCCATGCTTTTAACTAATTTTTAAAAAGTAAGTATGTACTTTGCTTTTTGTTCCATAGCTCCAAAGCCTGACCTGTTAGCTGCAGAGAAGAAGTTCTTTCCTCTAAAGCCTGAAGAAAAAGGTAAGTCTGATTTTTTTAATCCCCCCTTCCCTAAGCAATCCTTTCTTTTCTTTCTTTTATCATTTTTACTAATTTATTTTTTTTAGCATTTACTCACATGTGTGCACATCGTTTGCCCCCCTTCCCTGCTTCCTGGCACACCTGTTCTGGCCTCTTTTCTCCGATTGAGAAAACATAAGAGATATTAAGAAAGACATAGCATTTTTACCAGTTTGAGATAAAGATAGCTATATGGAGAGATTTCTAGTGTTGCTTCCATGCGCTTGTGAATTAAAAACCGACATTGGTTCATCTCTACCAGACCTCTCCACTACTTTCTAGTCTTCTTCCTATAGTGCTCTCTGCCAGTTTAAGATTACTTTATTTGCTCCTCTATAGTGAGCACATCAACCACATTCAAGTTTTAGGTCCTTCCCTTTACCTATTCCTCCCATGCACGTCTTCCCCTTAGTGTATGACCCATGTCCAGTAATATTACTGGATTTGTTTTAGGTTTGTAATTCACCTATGAGGGAGAACATGTGAAGTTTGGCTAACTTCGCTTAAGATGATATTCTCCAGTTCCATCCATTTACTTGCAAATGACAAAATTTCATTGTTCTTTGTGGCTGAGTAAAATTCCATTGTATTCAAATACCACATTTTCTTAATCCATTTGTCAGTAGTGGGGCATCTTGGCTGTTTCCATAACTTGGCTACTGTGAATAGTACTGCAATAAACATGGGTGTGCATGTGTCTTTGGAATAACCTGAGTCGCATTCCTTTGGGTATATCCCTAGGAGTGGTATTGCTGGATCATATGGCAGATCTATGTTTAGTTTTTTAAGAAGCCTTCATATTGTTTTCAGAGTGGTTATAGTAGCTTACATTCCCACCAGCAGTGTATGTGGGTTCCTTTTTCCCCCAACATCCTTGCCAACATTTGTTGTTGGTGGTGTTTGTGATCCTAACTAGTCTAACAGGAGTGAGGTGGAATCTTAATGTGGTTTTGATTTGCATTTCCTTTAGGGCCAGGGATGGTAAGCAGTTTTTCATGTGTTTTTTGCTATTTGTACTTCTTCCTTTGTTACAGTTCTGTTTAGTTCAGTTGCCCACTTCTTTATTGGTTCACTGATTTTGGCGGACTTTAGTTTTTGAGCTCCCTATATATCCTGGTTATCAGTACTTTGATGTATAGCTAGGAAATATTTTCTCCCACTCTGTGGTTGGCCTCTTCAATTTAGAGACCATTTCTTTTGTTGTGCAGAAGCTTTTTAATTTCATGTAGTCCCATTTGTCTATCATTTTTCTTAGTTGCTGGGCTGCTGGAGTTCTACTGACAAAGTCCTTGCCTATACCTATTGTTTCCAGCGTATTCCCTGCTCTTTTGTGTACTATGCAAGGTTTTGGGTCTGATATTAAGGTCCTTAATCCTCTTTGAGTTGATACTTGTACAGGATGGCAAACATCTAGTTTCAGTTTTCTGCAGGCTGATACCCAGTTTTCCCAGCAACATTTGTTGAAGAGGCTGTCTTTTCTCCATGTATGTTTTTGGCACCTTTATCAAAAATTAGGTGGGTGTAGCTGCATGGATTCCTATCTGGCTCCTCTATTCTGTTTCACTGGTCTTCATATCTGTTTTTGTGCCAATACCATGCTGTTTTTATTGCTATAGCTCTGTAGTATAATTAGAAGTCAGGTATTGTGATACCTACAGTGTTGCTCTTTTTGCTCAGTATTGCCTTGGCTATTTGCAGTCTTTTGGGTTTCCAAATGAACTTTAGGGTAGGTTTTTCAATTTCTGTGATAAATGTCCTTGGGATTTTTATGGGAATTGCATTGAACATGTAGATTGCTTTTGGTAGCATAGCTGTTTTCACTATGTTGATTCTGCCAATCAATGAGCATAGGAGATCTTTCATCTTCTGTAGTGTTCCTCAATTTCTTTCTTCAGTCATTTGTAGTTCTTGTAGAGGTCATTCACATCCTTTGTTAAATTTATTCCTAAGTATTTGATTTTTTGGGGGGCTATTATAAATGGAATTGTTTTCCTATATTCTTTCTCAGTTTGTTCATTGTTGGTGTATCGAAAAGCACTGATTTTTGTAAGTTGATTTTGTATCCTGCTACATTACTGAAGCTATTTATGGTGTCAAGGAGTTTTTGGGTGGAGTATTTTGGGTCTTGAGGTATAGGATCATGCCATCTGCATATAGAAATACTTTGACTGTTTGCCTGTTTGGGGTTGTGTACAGTTGGTACAGTAGGCTAGTCAGCTGGTGGTGAGTGTGTAGGAGGGCGGAGTATTGTGGTGACAGGGTTGGGAAGGATAGGAGGGGGAGGTGAATGCAGGGGAAAGTGGATGAGAAGGGGCAGAAAGAACAGTTGGGAGGGAGAACAATGGAGAAGGAGGGAAAGTGAAGAGGGTAAGAATAGGGGTAAGAGAATAGTGATGGTGAAGTTAGTAATACAGGAATAAAAAAAAAAAAACCAAAAAAGAAACACAATACAAAACACCAGGTTCAGGAACCACAGAAAGTTCAGTCCTGTGGTGAGAGTTTTGGATTATTTCCTTAGGTGTCCAATACTGGTATTGGCATACAAGTAAAAGCTCTGATGTTATCTCGCCAGGTGACTGGCTTGTGAGTAGTATTTGATTCCTTCTGTCCACAAGATTAGTTAGAATTGTGAAGTAAGGTAAGACTGGTGGTCAGAGCTGTTTCCACCAGGCAGCATCTGGGTGGCCGTTCAGCTGCAGCTCTGTTTGGTCAGCTCCTACCCCAGCAAGGCAGGGCAGTTCAGTTTTGAATAGTGCCCGCTGTTCCATAGATCAGCTCTGGATCCACCACCTGCCCTGCTGTGGGAGGTTGACCTGTCGCCCACCCTGCTGTCAGCCTTTATGCCTCCCCTGATCTCCGCTGGGTGCTGGTGACTCCTTTGGGGGGTTGGCTTGTCACCCCATTCCTGCTGTGTCACTCCTTTGTGCCTCTCCTGATCTCTGCTGGGTGTCAGGGGTTCCTGCTCTCAGTCTTTGCATGCGTGGGCGGGTGTTTAGTTAACTAGACTGAGAGTTTGGCTCCTTGCCCATCCCTGGGGCAGGTTCAGTGTTCCACCTCCACCTCCACTGTTGGTGTCAAATTACATTTGCTGTTTGTTTTCAGTTTTGCTGGGGTGTGTGTGTGGGGGTGTAGTCTGCCCAGGGGCTTCACTGTATTGTTTCCCAGGGAGTGGGTAGAGCAGTTTGCATGGAGCATGGAGACACGTTGCAGGGAGGAATGGCCTGCTTTTTTCAGTGAGGCTTACGTGCTTGGTGTCCAGGATGTCCCTGAGTTTGATTCTGATTGATGCTTTGTCTTGCAAGTGTAGCTCCAACGTCTCAAGGAGGTTTCTGGGGTCATGGAGCTTAGTATTTCTGATTCCCTGCCCTGGTAATCCTTGACTCTCTCTAGCAATCCTTTCTTTCACTGTCATTTTAAGAAATATGTCTCTTCATAATATCCTGTTTATACTGACTTTCTACAAGTGCTTGTATTTATCTTACAATGTTTGGAGTTTTCTGGGAGGAGGTGTTTTATCAAGGTTGATAGCAAATTAAGCTTTTACCCTGATACCAATCTACATTCATTAAAAAATTAAATCATCCTTTCAATAGGTTTATAGTAGTCAGTCATAGTTATTGCAAATGATGAACACTAAGCATTAAGTAAATTACATTATTTTTTTATAGTGTTTCAGAGAAAATTTAAAATTTCCTTAGGTATAAAAGTGGCTATTACTTTATGTCATTGTATGTGTTTGTCATATGAACTTGGAAAGTTACACGTAGGTACTATACATATTTTTTCAAAAGCATGTTACTTTGTTGTTAATTTGTAGAAAGAAAATCTTTCTCTATAATGCAGAAATATCTGCAATGGTTGAGTTATATATGTGAAAAACTTGAATTCTGTCTTAGAATGCTTTTTTCTACTGCCAGTGTTATAGTTTAGCCTATCCTTGTCTCTTACCTACTGTGTCTTATCTGATATCTCTCTTTATCACCTATGTGGGCTTGTACTTCATATGTTACCAGGGTCATTTTTTGTTTGTTTTGTTTTTTTGAGACAGTATCTCTCGATGTAGCCCAGGCCGAACTTGAACTCATGATCCTTTGCCCCAGCCTCTCAAGTGATAGGATAAGGAGTGTCCTACCCTGTCCAGCTCTCTCTCTCTCTCTTTCTCTCTCTTAATAGATGCTTTTTGGAACAGCTTTAGGCTCACGGAAAAATTGAGTCAAAAGTGCTGAGAGTTCTCATATACCCTGCCCAATATAGGCACTCTCCCTTTTCAATATTGGCTTCTCCCACTTACTAATTATTGAGAAATTCTCCATGTCTTTTCTTGGCCTGGTAGCTCATTTGTTTTTTAGTTCTGAGTAATATTTCACTGACAGCATGAACCATCGTTATTTACTCACCAAGGAAAATACGTTGATTGCTTTCAATTTTTGGCAATTATAAAGTTTGCTATTAGAACATATATGCCAGTTTTTAGCTCATTTACCAAGGAATGTTGTGTTGGGTCTATGTAGGAGTATGTTTTAGTTTTGTAAGCAACTGCCAAACTTTCTCCCAAAGTGGCTGTATTATCTGCATGACTGCTAGAGTGACAGTTTTTTTTGTACATCCTTGCCACCATTTTGGTAGTCTCCTGTTTTGGTTTTTATCAGATGTATTTTACAAATATTTTCTCTCATTATTTGGCTTGTTTTATTTGCAGAGCTGAAGTTTACATTTTATTAAAGTTCATTTTATGAGCAGTTCCTTGAAGGGCCATACCTTTGTATGGGTATTTAAAATCTTGGTTTTCTCCTATGTTAATCTTGTAGGAGTTTTATAATTTTGTGTTTTGCATTTAGGTCTATGATATATTTTGAATTTTTGTCTCTCTCTTTTTTCTTTTTGGCCTTTGTATGTCCAGTTGATTCTGTACCATTTGTTGAAAAAGTTTCTTGTTTACTTCAAATTAAAAGTCCAAATAC